TTTTTAAAAATAAAGCTAAATTTACCTTACCTAAAAATAAGTAAGTGGCTTATAATAACTATATTAAGTATTTAATAAAGTATTATAATAGGCGCTTTATAAAATATTTTTATTTTTAGTTTATAGCCTTTAATATAATTATAAAAAAATAAGTAAATACTTAAGCAGGTTTTTATATTTATTAAAAGGCTAGTATGCATGTAAATATTATAATAAAAAATATTTAACCTACTTTTTAAAATAATAGTCCTAAATTTATTACCTTATTAAACTTAATTACCTAATTTTTTAATAATTTAAAAGGCACCTATTTATTTTAAATAAAAAAGCGCAGGTAAATTAAGTTTTTTATATTAAATTTAAGTATATTATATTTATTTATAACACTTTTTACTATTAATTTTTATTAATATAATTTAATGCGGCACCTCCCTTGCTTTAAAAAGTAGTATTAAAAATTATTAGCTAAATAAATTAAGATTACACGTAATAATTTGCGTAAAAACCCTTATATTATTTTTTATTATTTTTAGTTATATTTTAAAATATTTAAAAAAACCGTTTTAAAGCCTAAGTTTAAAATTAATAATAAGTAATTTTATTTTAAATAGCAAGGCCGTGAATTAATATATTTATATAAATTATATTAAATTAATTTAACTCTTATTATTAATATTTTTTTTTAAAGTAAAATATATTTTTTTAAAGCACAAGATGCTTTTACAAAGTTTTAGGGTATTTATATATTTATAGTTAATTTAAAACCTAGGCAGGAGTTTAACCTAGTAAATAAGTATTTTATAATATCCCTATTTTTAAAAAATTAATATAATATAGTTACTTATTTATTTATAATCCTAAATTATATATAAAAATACTAGTGCTTTAAAGCGTACTACCTTAAAAAATAAAAGGGATTTAAAAAAGTTTATTACTATTTTTATTATTTTATATTTTATGTTAAAAATATATTTTTAGCTAAGCCTTTTTAAGTGTTTTATTATTAGCTATATTTAAAATATAATAATTTATATTTAAATTACTATAATTAGTTAATATTTATAAGTTAGCTAATAAATATAAATATAGCACCTTATATAAGTGCCTGCGTAGTAATAAATTATATTATTAAATATATTATAAAAATAAAAATAAAAACCATGTTTTATAAAAATATAATATTAAAGTTAATTTTATATTTAAATATAAATAATCCCCTTTTTTTTACCATGGTAAAACTAATAAATAAGTTAATTTTTAAGCAGGATTAATTAGTATAAAAAATTTATTATTTTTTGTTTTACTTGTCTTTAACGCAGGGGTTATAAATAGTTACTTATATTAATTATTATTTAAAGAAATAACAAGAATAGTTATTTATTATTAATTAGGCTAATAATAATAATTTAAAAGCTAATAATAGTTTTAAAAAAGGCCTTTTTTTTTACTAAATATAAGCTACATGTAAATAAGTATAAAAATATAACTTTTTTAGATTTTTTTTTAAACTATAAGTACAGGAGTATGGCTAATATTCACCCCTAATATTAGGGAAAGGCATGTGTTTTAAATTACTTTTTAAAGTATTTTAAAAATTAAACTAAAAATTTAGACTATATAAAGCTAATACTTTATTATAATTTTTAAAATATTAATAATTTAAAAATTATTAAAAGTGTTAAGTATCTAACTTTTTATAATATATATATTATTTATTAAAAAGTATATACTTATTTAAATAATTTTTATTATATTTTTACTGCTTTAGCTCCGGATAAGAATAATAATAATAATTTTAAGTAAATAAATAAAAAAAAGTAAAAAGTATGGGTTAAGCTTATTATATAACTTTTAAAAAATAATTTTACATGCTTTAAAAACTTTAATTTACTTAAAAATTATAATATTAATTACTTTTATAATTAAAATATTTATATTAATAAGTATCCTAAAACTATAATAAAATATAAATAATAAAATAATATTAAAATAATATTTTTAGTTATTATGTTACTATATTTTAAAATATTAATTAAGGGATTAAAAGTTAAGTAATAGCACCTATATAACCTTATAATTAAGTATTATTAATTTATTTTTACTAGTAATTTTCCATGCTTTATTTAAGTTAACTTAAATAACTAGGTAAGAACTAGTAAAATACATGCTATTAAATTAATATTTATATATTTATAAAATATAGCTATAAGTGCTAGTTAAAGAATATTAATTATTTATATTACTTTAACTAAAGTTACTATAAATATTATATTAAGGTATACTTTACATGCACTTTTTTATTTTTTAATTAGTACTTAGTAAAAATATTAAGTATTAAATTTATAAAACCTACGCGTGCTTTAAAGTCTTTTTTTTAGTATATATTATTTTATTATTAATAAAAAGTTTATGCTTAGCTTATTATTTATATAGTAAATTAACTAGCACTATTATAAAATATTTTTTATTATTAATAATAACTTTAAAAAAATTAATATTATTCTTGCGGGTAATTTTTACTAATTACTACTTATTATATAGCGCCTGTTATTTTATAATTAATTATTAAAAAATATTAATATAGTTTACGCACGCTATTTATATTATTTATTTAATATTATTATTAAACTTAATATTATTTAATAATAAAATAAAAGTAATTTACATGTAAAGGGCTTTAAAACTACCCTATAAAATTTTTATTATAATAAGGTAATAAAAAAAAATTAAAAACTTTTTCTATTATATACGCAGTTAATTTATAATAGTAAAAATAGTTTTAAAAATATATTATATATATATTATAAAAAAACTTAGGTTTTTACCTAAAATTATAATATTTTACAGGATCTAAACCATGTAGTTCTGGTTATTAATATTATATATAAAAATAAAAATATAAAAATTATATTAATAAAAAATATAAGTAATTTATATTTTATTTTATATTTTTATATAAGTGCTTGTATTATATTAATAAAAAATTATTAGGTTAAAGCTAGCCTAGTAAATAAATTTTTAAGTATTATTATTAATATTAACTAGTTACCTAACTTTAATTTATATATAAATTTCCCAGGCACTATTTATATTAAGTTTAATAAGTATATTAGGCTAGGTATTATTATTAATAATAAAAATTATATTATATTTATTTATTTATTAAAGCAAGAGTTTACTAGGGTAAATATAATTTATTATTATACCTAGTTTTTTTTAACTTTTATATATACTATTATTATTTATAAGGTATAGGAAATAACTATTAATAAAATAGTTTTAAATATATTAAAAAAAAACTTTTTACTAAGTTTAATATATATAATAGTTTCTTATATTAAGACACTAGGTAAAATCCTGTTTAAAAAGCCTTTTAACTATAATTAATTTAAGCCTTAAAAGTTAAAGGCTAGTAATATAACTTTAATATACTTAATAAATATTAAGTATAGGGCTACTTAGCATGTATATATATTTTATTTATTAAAATATTTAGCTAACTAATTTAATTATAGTATTTCCTAGTACCTAAGCCTTTTATAATTAAGTTACTTAAACCTTAATATAAAATTAGTTTACTTATTTATTTATTTTTTTTTTACTTTTAATTATTTTTTTTATATTACGGCCGGTTATTTTTACTTGGTTTTTATTAATTAAATAACTTACTTAAATATTTATAAATTAAATAAGGCTATAAATAAGCGTAAAAAACCTAATATTATAAAGTTATATTAAGTTTTTAATTTATAAATTTTTTAAATATTAAATTAATACTTCTTAATTTTCTATAATTTTAAGTATAGGGCTATTTTAAATATATTTTAAATAATAACTTTTTATTAGCCCAAGGCCACTAGTTTAAATAAGTAAGAATTAATACTTTTTTTAAGCTAAGTATATTAAATTTTTATATATAAAATTAAAATTTAAAAATTTAATACTTTTTAAAGGTTTTTACCGCTGCACTAGCCTAATTAAAAAATAGTAAATTAACTTTTTAACTTTATTTAATTTACTTAACCTATAAAAAAAACTTATATAATTATACCTAGGTTTAAACCCAGGACCTCCTAGTTTTTAAAAAATTTTAAAAAGTAGTTTTTAACTTAGTTTTAGCTTGTTTAAGCCTAGGAATAAAAAAAATAAATACTTTTTTAATAAAAATAAATACTTAGCACTTTTTAAAGGCTTTAGGTATTTATATAAGGCTTTTTAAAGCCTAAAACAAGCTAAAATTATTTTTTAAAGGCTAAATTAAGTTATTATAATACTAACATATAACTATTAAGCTAAAAAACCACGTAAGTTACTATTTACTTAATAAAATAACTTTTATTTTTTAAGGGGTTAAACTAAAGTACTGCAACCACTTAGCACGCGGGCTACAGGGTATTTTATATAGTAAGAATATTAATAATCTTGGCTTATAAAAACTATTATAGCCCTTTATCATCCCGCGGAAACCCGAGATAAGAGATCGCCGATGCGGAAGCAGGGGGGGGGGGTCCGGGACGGGCGGGAAGGAGGGGAGAGGCGGCGGTTTCACGTTAATATCGCCCGGGGCCGGGGTGAGATCTGGGACGTGCGACCAGAAGAATCCGCCGGTCTGAATGTACAGTGGGATGGGGGTTATCTGTGCTGGTGGTCGTGGCGTCGGGGTTGCGGGCGGGGATGGTTGTTGTCGAGACGGTTGTTGTTGAAATGTCGGTCAGCGAGGGGAACTGCGTCTCGGAGTAGGTCTATGTCTCGCCGTCGTCGTCGTCGTCGCGGTAGGACTGCATAGTTGCTGGGGGAGGAAGATAGTCGTCGTATCATCGTCTGCAGTGATGACGGTAGGGTCGGGGATGTAGCTGGGGTCATGGCGAAATACTGCGATTTGTAGACAGTGGATGAAATAGGAATATCTGCTTCCTGAAGGCTGAGAATACCATGTTGAAAGGCAGGCCAATTCAATAACACCAAGCGTACTAATAGCAAAGCTACAAATGTAATCAACCTCACACAGCACGCGGATCAAACCCCCTCTCCGCCTGCCACTTAACAACCTCATCCCAATCCTCCTGATTGAGAACAAACGACAAGGCAAACCACATGTGGTGCCCGGCATCAAAGGCCTCCCGAAACCCCAACCCGTCCATTCTTCGCACACTCCAGAATATCAACCCGTACGGCCGGAAAACAGCGTAATCCACGCACCGTAGCGGCGAGATAGGTGAAACACGCGCTTCCCATAGACAGAGTGCGCCGTGTGTAGAGAATGCGTTGGATATCCATTCTTCCTCTGTTTCCCATTCCTTGTCGGAGAGGGTCGTGGATTCGGGATAGCGATGCTGATATGTATTTGGGAGTGGAAGTGGGCTGGATGATAGCAAGGAGGAGATATTTTCGCGCCCACCGCATTTAATATCAAGCCACTGCAGTGTCGTTGCGATCTGCTCTCGCTGGGTATTATTGTCGCCACAGAGGATTTTCTTCCAGAATGTTTCTGCAGTGTCGAGCGACGAAATATACACTGTTTCTCCCCGCACGGGCGGCACGGTGAAGTCACCGTATATCCTCCGCAGTTCGTAGAATATGACAATCCACAGAAAACTCCCCAAAAGGCGCTGCTCCTCAATCCACATTAGCGGACCAACGTCAACAGGCGTATGGGGGACGCCCTGCGGGCGATGAGCAGGTCCCACCCCACGTGTATTGATGTACGCAGCCTTCCTGGGCAGGTGTTCAATTTTCAGCTGGAGAGCCTTTGAGACCATATCGTGGAATGAAGCGTGCACGAGGCAGCGGAGCCGGGTCATTAACGCGAGGAGCCGGCAAAGAATAGCCGCTGGTGTAGATGGGGATATTGTTGTCGGAATGGGTGTGGGGTGGTTAGAATACTTCTCTGCGAGGTACCGTAGGCTGTTGAGGATATTCTGGTCGGAGTCTTGTTGTTGTCTTTCTCTTTTTGACTGCGCGGTCCAGATGGTCACTAGGTAGCGGACGGCACGCTGAACAATGGGTGGCAGACCCCGTTCACGGGCTGTACTCTCCATGATAGAGTCCACAATATGGGCGAAGAGGTCATTGTTTCCTTGGAGGAATGCTGCAACATCGGGGGATGCATTGTGAAGGCTGTGAAGTGTGGGGAGATCTGGAAGAGCGGACAGGATATTGTGTAGAGCAAACCAGGGAAGTCTGCCAAAGGGATCCATTCTGGCTCATCTCTGCCGGAATGGGAGATAGGTTAAAGGCCTGGTATTTTATGGAAGGAGATTCTCTCCGCGAGGTTAACCTGCTAAGTGTGGGTCGATCTCGCTGTCTGCATGCCGTACTACGGGTGGCTGGGCTGAGACTCCATAGAGAAGACACGGGATTCAATTTCAGAGTAGTTCCTTTTATTCCCGAACCAATGTTAACAACACACGTAGAAAAGAACGCCAGAAATCTGAAACATAGTACCAAAAATTGCTTCAAGGTCATTTCATTTGCCGCCTGTAGATACGGATTTGCCTTCCTGGTTCGACGACAAACACTTATGCTGGGGAATGGTATCCCCTAGTGTCTCATGGATGGGAGGCAGGTTCCTAGCACTTCGCCTAGGATTGTAAGACAGTAAGGATCACACTTTGACCAAGCCTACCATACCAAATTGGACACTGCATTGATCCAATGGGTCCTGCGAAAATGAATCCAAAATATATATCTGCCCGGTTTTCTGGATTTGAATAGCCATGATAATATCGGATTCGCACTCAAGGTTGCACTCTGCTGCTTTTTTGAAAAGGCATATCTTATGTATATACCACTGTTGTGCTTTTGCTCGAGCACTCTCCGAGTAACACTTCTTTAATAACGAAGGTTTGCTGGACATAACAACATTTCTTCTCAAAAGAATATTTTTGAAGATTGCAGGTATCGAGATATTAAGACTTATTAAGTATCTTGGCGCTGGGCCCTGTGGATTGCTGCGGAGGTATTGAGCAGGACAGTCTCTCCCTAACCGCAGTCAGCACCCTTGTTCAGGGAGTTGCACCGCAGTAAGAAGGCTGTTACTCGCTATAAAAGTACTCCGTGTTTTGCGTGGTCTTTGACTTAGCTATTTTTTTATCTTTCCCCTTGAATACTATTCTCCTTCCAAACAAAATGGATGTGTTAGCTATTTATGCCATTTCCGCTGGCGGTGTTTTTGTTGGTCTATACTTGACCCGGACCCTCTCTATGCTCGCCAACTGGTCTAATTTTTTTTTCTGTTCTACTTTCTTAACATTTCACGCTCCCTTTTCTTGTTAGACATGTATAACCTGCACTATAGAACCTGTACTACCTGTACTAAAACCTGCAGTAAAATAAGTTTAGGCTAGGTTATTTTAAATTTATATTTATTATAAGTTTTGATTAGCTAACCTATATAGGTTATAGGCTATTAAATAAGTTAGTATTTTTAATAATTTAGAAAATTATATATCTTAATTGATATATTGATAAAAAAATATTAAAAAATAGCTAGAATCAGGAAAATTATTAAACTTCAAAAAAATATAATTTTTAGAAAAGTATCATGGCCATCAATTGCCTAGTTACCAGCGATTAACACCAGTGATTAGTGTCAGGGCCAATGTTTTTCCATTTAATGTTACCAGAGCTAATCCACTGTTAGTCCAGAATTAGCACCTTAAGTAACCTAAGCTTTGGCCTTAGGCTATTAAGGCTTGGCATATTTTATTATTATATTAAGTTATATAACTTAATTAAGTTATTATTATTTAGGGTTTTAGTTACTAGTTAAATAAGGTTAAAATATACTTTAAGTATAAGCTAAGTAAAAACTTATATATAAAGTATTTTAAACTTATATTTACTTTTTAATTAAAAATAGCTTAAGCATAATTTAAAGGTTTATAAAAATAGCCTTAAAGCTAGCTTTTTTTAATTTTTAAATAATTTTTTAATATTATTAAATAAGGTTTAAAATACTTTATTTTTATTAATTAAATTTTTTTATTAATATTTTTATTATTAGTAAAAAATTTTAAAACTTATTAATTTTATAATTAAAGTTACTTACACTTACTACTTTTTAAACCTTTTTAATAATAATATTTTAAATTAATTTTTAAAGGGTAAGCAAAGGCGGTTTACAGGTATTTTAATTAAAATTTTTAAAATTTAAATTTAAATAATTAAAAAGTGTTTTTTTATTTATACTTAAAAGATTTTATTATTATTAAAAATAATTAAAAAAAATTTAACTTAAATAATTTAGTTTACTAGCTTGGTAAAGCATAAAATAAAATATATTTTTTACCTTATTTTTTTATATTATTATTAAAATTTATTAATATTAAATTTATTATAATTAAAGCTATTTTAAAGGGGAAATAGCCTAGGATTATAATACCTAGCTTATTTATTTTTTAATTTTAATATAATTAATATTATATATTAAAATTAAAATATTTTTTTAAAAAAATAAGGAAAAGTTACCCCTATAACCTAAAGCTAAAATAATATTAAATTATTAATTTTTATATTAATTTTTTTATTAATTTTTATACTAATCTTTTTATTAATATTTTTAATAAGCTTTAAAAAATTTAATTTTAATAATTTTTTTAATTTTAGTTTAAAGCTAAGCTTAAATAACTTAAGTTATTATATTAAAACTATTTTACCTTTAAAACCTAGTACTAGTAAATCTAGTTTTAAAAGGTTTAAAAATTTTAAATATATAAAAAAAAGTATTAAAAAGTTATAAAAAATTATAAGCTTTATTATAAAAAAAAGGCTTTTTAAAAGCCTAAAATTAAGTTTAAAAAAATTAAAAAGTTAAAGGGGAAGAATATAATAAAGCTTAAAACCTAGTTTAAAAACTTAAAAAAATTACTTTAATAATACCCTTAAATAATTTTAAATAAATAATAAAAAGGTTATATTTATTATTTAAAATACTTTAAAAAATACTTGTAATTATTAAAAAGGTTAAGTTAAACTTTAAAATAATAAATAAATTTAGGCAAATTTTAAAAAATTTATATATATATAAGTTAACCTAGTAGTAAACTAAAATTACCATGCTATTTAATATTTTTTAATTAAATAATAAAATACTTAAAATACTACTTTTCAAAAACTTTGTTTTATAAAATTAGGCTTGTACTTTTAATAATTTAAAGTTTAAGATATAAATACTTACTAAAACTTATAATAAAAATATTTACTTATACTTAAAAAAGTTAAAAGCCCCCCTAAAAACTTTTACTAATATAAATATAGTAATAATTTATATAAAGTTTATTTTAAAGTATAATAAGGCCTTAAAGGCTAAGAAAAAAAAGTTTAAAGCTAGTTTTAACTTTAAAAATAAAAAGAATAAGGATAACTTAGGATAAAACTAGAATAGTAATAAAGCGGCTTTTTTAAAAAAGGGAAAAAAAGTAAAAAAAAAGTAATAATTTACTTTTCTTTTTAAAAAAAAGTGCCGCAAGAAAAAGGGCCTTTATTTTAATTATAGTAAATTAGGCCACCTATTAAAGGCTTGTTTAAATAAAAAAAAGCCTAAAAAAACTAATAAAAAATAAATAGTAATTTATTAATCCTAAGTTATTAAAATTATATAATTTAAAAAAAAAGATTACTTTCCCTATTTTTATAAACTTTAAAATATAAAAAAATAATATAAATTAATAATTTAAAGCACTGCTTAACACTAGGACTAATATTAATTTTACTTTAATTTAATATTTATAAAAGTAGGAAATTAAAATAAATATTAATTATATAATATATCTAATTTAATATATTAATAATACCTTTACTTTTTATTATAGGTGTTTATAAGCCTGTACTTAGGTTTATAATTTAAAAAAAGTTATAAAAATATTTAACTTAGTATATTATATAATTAATCTTATTTATAAAAATTATTATGCAGTTTTAAAACATCCCTAAATAGTTAAAATAAATTTAAATTTTTATTTTATTATAGTAAAATAAACCTGGTAAAATTATATACCTTTTATTAAAATTAAAATATTATAAAAATTTGTTAAAACTATGCGTAAAAAACTAGTATTTATAATACTTTATTATTAATTAAAAAAAAACTAAAAAAAAGTAAAGGTAGTCCTGCCACCCTAGTATATTTACTAAAGTAAAGTTTTTTTAAATAAAAAGCTACTTAACTTTTAACTAGTAAAATAAAGTATAAAATTTTATTAAAAAAAAGGCAAGAAGCCTTTATAAGGTTTTATTTATAATTTTTTTTAATATAAATTATAAATATTAAAAAAGTATTTTAATAAAATACTTAAAAAAATAAATTAAGCTATTTTAAAGTAGTACTAAAGTACTAGTATTTTTTATTTAAAAACCTAATGAATTTTTATATTTTTATATTAACTACCATAAATTAAATATAATAATTAATAAAAATTATTATTTATTATTATATATTAATAAGCTAATAAATTAGCTAGTAAATATAAAATATTTTACTAAGCTAAATCTGCGTGACACGTATTATAAAATATAAATTAAAAAATAAATAAATAAAAAATAATATTCTAGACCTATTATAATTACTATAGATATATAATTATACCTTTTAGCTTAATAAATACGCTAGCTATATTTTAATTTTATATAAATATAGTTATAAGCAGGATTTTTAATAAGTTTTATATTATTTACCTTCATAATATTTTTATTTTTTTAAAATAAAAAAAACATCTGTATTATATTTAAAAAGTTCTTAATTAGTTAAAAAGGTATAATTTATATATAAAATTATTAAAATGCAGTTTTTATAAAAAAGAAAAGTTTTTAGGCTTTATTATTAAATAAAAATATTATTTATTAATTTAGACTACAGCTAGACTATTATTAACTAGTTAAAATTAATATTATTTTATAAGTTATAAATTCTTTTAGGCTTTATAAACTACTTTTAATATTTTATTTTTAGTTATACTAAAGTAACATGTTTAATAACCTAGCTTTTAATAAAAATAGTAAAAAAATATAAAAGCAGGCTATTTTTATTCCTTACTAATATAAAAAATATATTTAAAAAATAAAGTTAAACTTTACTAAACTACTAGTATTATAGCACTTTAATTTTTTAAAAAAAGATTTTTATTATTACTAATATATTAAAATTTATTATTACTAGAATTATTATATAGCTTAAATAAAAAAAAATTACTTAATAAAA